TATATATATATATATATATATATATATATATATACGTATATATATATGTATATATATATATGTATATATATATATGTATATATATATATATATAATCAACCTTTCCCAGAACACCCACATGGCAGCTTACAGCTGTCTGTAACTCAAGTTCCAGTGGATCCGACTCCCTCACAGAGACTTACATGCAGACCAAACACCAATACACATAGATAGGTAGGTAGATAGATACAGACAGACAGACAGGTCACCTCTTCTATCCTCTTGACTAGAGAGACCATGAAGACACAAAGGTTGGCTTTTAATTAATGAGCATTCAACAAGAGGAGGGTTAATACAGAAAGAAATGTCCTCAGTGCTTCCAAGGAAAGCCACAGGGTCAGCAAGACCCTGACTCAACCCAGTTGATGACACAACTCATAGAGGACATGACACGGACACACACACACACACACACACACACACACACCATATAGTGCTTGTGGAGGGCAGAGGACATGTCATAGCAGTGGGTTCATTCCTTTCACGATGTGGGTTCCAGAGGTTGAACTCAAGTCGTCCAGCTTGGTTAACTTCTGAGCTGACTCATAAGCTACTCTTTATGGATGACAACACATTCCCAGGCTGATGAGATGGCTCAGTGGTCAAAGCCCTTGTCACTCAAGTGTGATGACTGGGGTTTGGACCCCCCGGACCTATATAAATGCTGAGTTGGGGTGGTGGCCCAGCGCTTAGGAGGCAGAGATAGGGGACCCCGGAGCAAGCTAGCAAGATACCCCATACCAGCAAGCTCTGCATTCACCTGAGAGGCCCTGCCTTAAATGAACAAGGTGGAAGGGCAATGGAACTAGACCCTTGACATTAACCTTGATCTCCCACATGCACATGGGTGAGCTCACCCGCACATCCCTGCCCTCACACACACATGCATGCATACCACACACACATACAGATGAGAAAAATAATAATACAGTGGCAAAGCCCACTGCCCTTCCACCAAATTCCTATTCCAAAAGGAAGAGAGGAGAAGATGGCAAGGAAAGATCGCCAGAGCAAACACCAAACCCTACAGCAGCGTTTCCAGCACTTGGGTCCATAATGGTGTCATGTAGGTGCCAAGGGACTTGGGTAAGCCCTGCCGCTCCATCCGCAACATACTTGGGCTCCCTCCTGGGTCTCTTCCATGCCATACTTTCAGCTTTCTTCAGCAGAGCCTCCTCAGTCCTGGCATATTCAACATCTTGGGTCTCTCCGCAGTGAGTTAAGTTTTTCAGCTTTACGGCTTTGTGTAATAGCTTCTCGAGGTCTCCTCACAGGGAATCCAGTGCCATCCCGCATGGCCTTTGTCCGTGGCCTTCTGAAACCGTGGTGAAAGCCTCAACAGCACTTTAACATATTTTGCCTGCCTGTGAAAATTCATACCACATGGATGCCACTACGAAGTCGTCATAGCGTGGCCTCCCATTTGTCAAAATTATGGTGGCCTCCGAGTACCTTCATGACTAAACCTGGGGGAAACTTCTGTAAGTGAATTTCAAGCAGGACGTTGTTATGGCTCTCTTTTCAAAGTGGGTTTGCACTTTTGCAAGCTGGAACCTTCTGTGGGTCACCTCCACATTACCCCAGTGCAAGGTTTCTTTTTAGTAAGTGCAGCTGCTGTCTTCACCAGCCTCACCCTCAACACGGCCATTCCCCTTTCCTTGCCAAACTACACATTATTTACCTTTGTGAGTTCCGTTGTCTGCTCATTCCCTGGCCAAGAGCGATGAGTAATAACTGTACCAAAGCCTAAACGTTATATTGCCTTGAAATTTCTTCCACCAAACTCTGTTACTTTTGAATTTGGATTCACTTAAGTTTTTAGGATAGAGGCAGAAATTAGTCCTGTTCCTGGCTGTGAGGTGAAGACCCTCTGGTCGAATTCCCAACAGAGTCTTTGTTCTCCTCAAACTCTACAGGTGCAATCTTTACAGTTTCTATTTCTGTGGATATTCCTTTTTTTTTTTTTTTTTTTAATTCTGTGGATATTCTGATCTTCAGCATTCCCACCAGAATAGACCATCAAAGCTGTGCTTACGGAATGCTTACAGCATTCTGGGCTCTTTATCTCGCCCACAGTTCCAAGCTCTTTCACATTCCTCCTGTAAACCATTTCCAAAGACCTAGAAATCACATCAACAAGTCTGTCATGGCCATGACCCCACTTCTGGTTCTAATAGTCTGTATTAGTCACTTTTCTACTGGATTAACTTAACACCCCCAAACGGGGAAAGTGTTCATCTCTGCCTGTGTAACTACTCTATATAGTTTCCCAGGAAGCCACAAATAGACAAAAACATTAGAACCAGATTTGAGGCTTTACAACAGGACCCTGGCTCCAGGGATGCATTTGACTCTTTGATCTTCTTGAGGTAAAGCAGTTTTAAGTTTTTTTCGGATACAATCCCACACCTAGGATTAAAACAAAGACACGTTCTTACAATGTGCAAAGTGAAGGCACAGGATGTTCAAGCAGGCCAGAGGGAACTGTGAAAGACTACAACAGTGTGGGATTGTATCCGAAAAAACTTAAAACTGCTGAGCACCAGATTGCCTGGAGAAGTAGACTATGAGAGAGAGGGAGGGGACATTTTGTGGTCGATGAAATAAACATTAGTGTCATTCGTGTGGCCCTTGAAAGCCACTCATTTGCCCACACAGCTTCTGCCAAGCCCAGGGAAATTGTCCCTTCACAGATTGGCTCATCCTGAGCCCAGGAGAGGCATGTCAATGGAAGAGTGTCAGTTGGTAAATACTTGGGCAGATCGAGCTGCCAGGCGGGCATGCTGAGTATGAGGAAACAGATTCAAAGAGCATGGTGGTGTTTTGTTTTGCTTTTTTTTTTTTTTTCCAACCTGCTCATTGAAAGGTCTATGGCTGTATTTGGTCAGTAAGAAAAAGCCAGATGGAAGAACCTGGAAAATGAACCTAAGTTATATCACTAGATATATCACCAAATAAGGTGCTGCTTCTTACCTAGGATGGTGCCTAACAGAACCTCTGTACTGGTACCGAGAGGGCCATGGCCGCTCTCAGCTCCACACGTGCAGTCCTGTACTAATGTTGGGGCAGCACACTGGACCCGCGAGACAGTTCACCCCGACTGGGGAAGAAGGACACAAGAGAGTGGTTGCACGCCTCTGTACACGAGGGACAGCAAGCGCTGCACCTTGTGTTCCCAGGTAGATTCCGGTCGGTGAAACCTGTTCAGATGCAGACTTGCTGTGAAACAAAGCACAGATTGTCTCCACCAGTCCATATGGTGAAGGCTTTTGCAGGGTCCCTGGGCAGTTGCTGGCTTTCACTCTCCCTTTAGCTCAATGTCTGTGCCCACTGTGCTTGCTCGTCAGGAAGAGAGGGAGGGAGTCAGGTGGATTTGGGGCTGTGGCTCAGTGGTAGAGTGTTTGCTTGAGGCCTTGTGTTCTCTGGAACCGCAGTGAACCAACACACATTTGAGAACAAAAGGGAGTCACATGGGACTGGCCTATTCCCCAATTGCAAGCATCTG